CCTTTACAGATGCCAAGACGGATTCACGGCTAGTCCCAGGAAAGCCTGCACAATTCCAAGATCACACGGGCACTCCAAAGTTTTAAAAGGTGGCTAATTGGAGCCTAAGGGGCGGTCACCTTGAGGTCTGCAGAGCTGAAGAGCCTGGCGGTGGCCCGGGCCTCCTCAGTGGTCCCGCGGGTCGGCGCGGGTCGAGGCCCCGGCGGGCGCGGGCGCGCGGCCCCCGTGGCCCACAGCGCAAGCGCATGTCCGCGCCCCCAGCCCCGACCCGAGAGGATCCACATGCCCCGGGCGGCGAAGGTGTCAGGAAAGGGTCCCGGGACGCAACAGCGCCATAGCACGCGCCCTCCCTAGGGCCCGGCAGCCAGGACTGAAGCCGGCTCTGCCAGGCCGGGAACGCAGGAACTGGGGACGCTCTATCCAACCAGCAGCCCTGGCGACTCGCCGGAAACGCGGCGCAGCTCGTTGACGTCACAGGCGCACGGCGTCATGACGTCAGCGCGTCTCCGAGCCAAACAGTGAAAGTTGAAGTTAAAGTCATGGAACAGAAGGATCCTATTATTGCTACAACCGAATGGCAAAATATTAATGGAACTCTTAAAATCTGGAGGTTGAAATATATTCCACATGTCAGTAATTGAGCTAATGAGCTCTGGCGAAGTGGGAATGAGGGATAAAATGATACTGAGACCTGGATAGCATCTGATGTTTGTCTCCCACTAATTCCCTCGGGCTTCTCCGGAACATCCAGAGGTTGGTTCAGAGGAGGGAGATGGTCGCTGTGTTCAGTTAACCATTGTGACTGGAAACAGAATTCTTAGTATCGTTTCCAAAACCTTTGACAGTTTCATTATTTTAGGGATTCCTTAGAACCAAGAATTCTGTGACAAGCTCAGTTCTTTCTTGGAACTGTTAGGAATTCAAACAATACTTGACACCACTAATTCTGTAACATGTGTTAAAGAATGAACTTAACTATCTTAAAATGAACACAATAGTTTGTGTTCAGTGTTGCCCAGACTTTACTGATTCGCATATTGTCCTTATTGATTTTTACCATATCCTGTCAAAGATAAAGCCACACGCTAGTTAAAGTGGCAGATTTTAAATAGTGATATATTATTGCAGTAAGGAAGAGGGTCCAGAGTGAACTAAACTCAACCTCAGTTTGTACAGAGGTGACTGCATTTCAAATGGAGAATGAGGGCATAGAAAGGGGGAACAATTGGGCTTGACCAGAGTGAAGGAAGTGGAAATTTACCACAAGCAGGGGTGGGGGGTATTGGTCTATGTGAAACCCATCTGGGTTTGTTAACTATGTAAAGTTAGGCTCCTACCTAACTGGGAGACAGGGACCCTATCTTCAGGTGTTGGGGACAAACAATAAATTCTTTTGGTAGTCCTGAGCTTTCCCAGAGAGGAACTTAAGGGGGCTGGAGTCATCATCTTAGGGATGCAACCTTGAGCTCTTAGAAACTATCTTAGTGTTTGTTCAAGTCTTTTAATGTGTGTGTAGGAGGGTGGGTGGGTGAGGTGAGAGTGTAGTTTTTGTAGGCTGAGGTCGAGCCCTATTCAAGAAGAGGGCTCAGATGAGTGAATAAAGGAAAGGCCAGAACCAATACTGTGCTCATCAAAGTGAGTTTATTGATTTGGCAGACAAGAGAACACGTGCCAAGTGAAAAAAATCAATGAGTAGTTTTCTGAGGGAAAATCTTTAGGGGGTATTATGAGTTTTGGAAATCAGAGCAAACACATTGATCTCTAAAGCCGAAAATCTATATGTAAGAGATGAGATCAAGAATATCCAAAACCACTTCAAGGAGAAAGAATAATGTACAATAGTCCTTTCTTATCCACCATTTTTCTTTTCATAGTTTCAGTTACTAAAAATATTAAATGGAAAATTGCAGAAATAAACAATTTATACGTTTTTAAATTGTGCACTGCTGTGAGTAGTGTGATGAAATTTCTTGCCGTCCTGCTCCGTCCTGCCCTGCGCTTGAATCATGCCTTTGTCCAGCACATCTATGCAGTCTACATGACAGCATGTGTGTTAGTCACTTAGTAGCTGCCTCGGTTATCACGTCAACAGATCACAAGAAAGGTGAGTACCGTATAATAAGATATTTTGAGAGAGAAAGAAAGGGAGGAACCACATTCACATGACTTTTATTCCAGTATGTTTTTATAATTGTTCTATTTTATTATTAATTATTTTTGTTAATCTCTTATTGTGCCTAATTTATAAATTAAACTTTATCATAGGTATGTATATACAGGATAAAACATAGTATATATAGGGTCGATACTGGTGGTTTCAGGCATCCACCGAGGGTCTTGGAACATATCCCCTGTGGATAGTGCGGAGCTACTGCACAGGACACGGCAACAGTTGGTATAATTTAACAAATGGTTTCAATATAGCTGAAGAAAAACATGAGTCCATCAGAAGGAATATAAATCAGAAAAAAAAAGGAAGCAAGGGCATTAGAGAGGCAAAGGTTGACAGTACCTTTATAGGGTCCATTGTGCTGAGTGCCTTGAACCAAGAACTTCTATCCGTTGGCCAGAAATGGAGGCCCAGGGAATTAAAATCCAAGCCCCCACGCTATAATTCCAATTCCCTAAGTAATATTTCTGTTATCTTTTGTCTTCAACGTAGTTTTGTCTGCAATACACTTGGTCAAATGAACCTTTTTAGGCTTGGGGTTTGAAGATTTAAGTCTAATAATTCTCATCCTTTAATACATGATGTCTCTCCCCTGTTGGAAAAGATATAGGAGTAACAAATTATGCTGCTTCCTATTGTTTTTAAGAAGATGACATTAAGATACATTTGCACCTTCTACAAGTGATCACGAATACATATTGAAACAAATGGAACATGTAATATCTGCAAAGTTTGTGCAAGAATTTTTACTATATACAAATCGTACCAGCTCCTATCCAAAGAACAGAGGTGCTCTGTGCATTTCCTGCCTCCCTATTTGAGTTTCTAATGGATCAATTTACAATCAACTTCACAACCAATAGATCTTTCTAAGACAGGACCTTTCCTAACTTAGGCCACCTTGTGGCTGTTGAGAAATGTTAATATTCCTAAAACCCTTATAATTTAACTGAGAGTGTCCATAAGGCATGCCCAGAAGATATTTAGAAGCTCTACAAAGTAAACCCTTAAATCTGTCTGAGGTCATTTTCTGTATTCTGTCTGGAAAGTTCTCTTTCTATTTTTCAAGTTAATTTTAGCAATGGTATTGCCAAACTTTCTGATACTACATAAAATAGGATATTTTTTCCATCTTTTGAAAACATATTTTTCACTATTTTTCAAATCCTTACCCTGGGGCCCTTTGAGCTTCCACTAACAGTCTCCTTGTGGCTCTTCCAAAGTTCTCTTCCTATCTTGTCTCAGAGCCAATGTAACATTTTAAAAACCAATTACATTCACCAAATTGTGTTCTTGTTATTTGTTGCTATTATTACAAACCTCTCTAAAATTTAGTGGCTTAAAACAATCGTTCCTTTTGCTCATTCGTCTGCAATTTGGAAGGATTGGCAGGGATGGCTTATTTCTGTTATATGATGTTTGCGGCCTCAACTGGGATGACTGGACAAGCCGGGGACGTGAAAAATGACTTACTTCTCTTGTAGACACAGGGCCTTTCTACGTGGGTCTCTCCACATGGGCTCTCCAGCATGACCTCAGGGAACGTTGCCTTATTACGTGGCAGTTGGCCTCCAACAACAAGTGTTTCAAGAGACCAAGGCAAAAGCTAAGTGACTTCCAGCCTCAGAAGTCTGAGAATGTTACTTTTGCCACATCTTATCGGTCAAGCAAGTTACTAAGGCCATAGTCAAGGTGAAAAATATTCCTTCTTAACAAGAGTCAAGGAATTTGTAGCTATATTTAATCTGCATTTTTAGTTGTCCAGCTAATTTCTTCATATTTTTTTTAGTAGAGACGGGGTCTTGCTCTTGCTCAGGCTAGTCTTGAACTCCTGAGCTCAAAAGATCTGCCCACCTCGGCCTCCCAGAGTGCTAGCATTACAGGCGTGGGCCACCATGCCCGGCCGATTTATTTATTATAAAATAAGAGATGAATGCTCAAGAAATGTTGAATCTCTAATCACAATCTATCTGTAAGACCGAACATTTGCACATATATATCCCCACCTTCTTTTGATAAAATGAACTTTTATGCAGATTTATGTAATATCAGAGTAGAGTTCACTAAAAAAAGTTATATGTTGAATGACTATAAATAATGGACACAAGAATAAATGTAGATACCTGCTATTGATCCAGCTTCATTTTTACCTAGAATCATAATCATAACAAGTAACATTTATTGAGCATCTACTACTTCCAGCTACTGTGGTAATTGCTCCTTTTGCAAAATTCTGCCTAATCCTCATATTTTATACGTTTTTTTTTATACACATATATATACATATATATATACATATATTTTGATTAATCATTTAGGTATATTATGAAACATAAAAAATAAAATTAAGTGGATGAGATAAAGATGAAATAAACTGTACCTAAGATGTAGGTATACATTTTGTTCCTTTTTACAGATGATAGAACTGAGGATCCATTTCGTTAGATAAGTTATGGAGGAATTTACGTAATTCCTAGCAAAGAATGCTTATGAAAATTAATTACATCAGTTTGCTAAATGTAGGTAAATTTGACTTATTACATTTAAAAATGACAATTATAATAATATGGTTGCCAAGAATGTACAACTCAACTACTGCTCATATCAACTTTCATAATTACAGGTACAAAGTATGTTTCTGCTAACATTTAATCATTACCAAACTAAAAACTTAGTAAGAGTTCAGTAATAATTCTGCTAGATTCCAATATTTTCTACTAAGACAAAATGGAAGCTGACAAGAAATAGCCAGATTAAAAGTCAAAGATAATTACGACAGTATTAATGTTGCAAAACCCTGTAGTTTTCTTTTCTTGCCATAGAACATATTGAGCTCTTTAAAATTCATGCAATGAAACAGAATTTTATGCCTATTTTCATGTGACTGTATAATATTCTGGGCTGCAGTTTCAGACTTATAAAATAGAAGCAGCATGGTCTTTAAAGGGCAGATGATCAAGAACAAATCTTTTGTGCTACTAACAAAAAGTGCTTATAGAGGATACTGACCACAATGCATTAAAAATAATGGAAAATGAAATGCATTGTATTCTTCTCTGCATTAATGAGAATAGTAATTTATATGTAAAATGCAGCCAATGTACATTAAATTGCAATACAGATTACCAAAATAAAGTAATTACATGATAAACACTGGCAATAAACAATCAGTTTTTCTGTCAGCAGAGGTAGAAAATATTAACA